ATTGAACTAAATTAAAGTTGATAGCCTTAATTTATAAAACATTGAAATGTTAGATTCCTAATTGAGTATTTAGCATATATCTGTATTATATTAATAAAGTTATTATTTCATACTTTATTTTAAGATATCGACATTTTAAACTCAAATTTGATGATCACATGACACCTCAATGATATCTCATTTTCATTTTTATTTTTTGTTTATTTTTTATTAATAAAATTATTATTTAATACATTCATTTAAGAGATTATAATTTCAAATTCAATTGGGATGTGCACGTAGTGCCACAAATGAGCTTATTTTTCTTTTTTTCCTTTCTATGATTTTATTTTTTTTATTTTTTTTTATGAATTTTCTTTTATTTTTTTTATTTTTATACTTTTTTATTAATTTAATTTCATGAAAAAAAAATTAAGGTAAATAAAGATGTCTCCCAAGCAACTTTATTTAACCTTTTTTTTGTATTTTTAAAATTTTTTTAATTAGATAAATTTTTTAACAAATATGTTCATTGATAAAAATGTTAAACCAATTTATATACAATGGATTGTGATTAATCTCAATTCAATAAGGGTTGATTCTTTTAAATTAGGATTGAATTAGGATAGTGCAAATTTTTTTAAGGGAAATGAGAACGAGGTGGAAGCTTGTTTATGATGTTTTGTCTTAATCCATTTCAGGGTATATAAAAATATATTTTAAATTCAATGAGATGTCTATGTGGCATTTTTTCATTCTTAAAAATTGATTGTTTATTGTTTTTCATTATTTTTAAAATTTTGTCTTTTTTCACTTTTTTTTGATTTTTTATTAAGTAAATTTTGTGAGAAAATAAAAATATTTATGTGCCATCGTATTTGACTTTTTGTTAAATTTTTTTAATTAACCAAATTTTCAAAAAAAAAAAAAAAAATGAATAGGAATATAAAATAAAAAAAAATTGACCCATGACAACACGCGCGTGTGCACCTAATGGTAACAATAAATACTACCATTATTATAAAATACCAAAAATGAAAAAACAATAAATAAAATATTTAATCCAAAGGCATCATCATCCTTGATATTTCCATTGCAGCGCATCAACTTTCTAGAAATTACATTACGAGCTTCTTTTGTCTCTGAGTTGCGAACCGGTTTGGCCTTTGTACTTTGAACCGTTCCGGATGAAATAAAAGGCAGTCTTTCTAAACTCAAAAACACTGCGTTCTTTGTGCCTTTGTCAAATCTTCCTACTTCTTCAGATTGATTCGCTTATCAAAAAACTTTTTTTTTTAATGAATAAAACTTTCTAGTTTCAACAGCTACAAACGTTGTCTGGAAGCAGAGAAGGGGAAAACCTGTTCCGCTCTCTTCTATAGGTAAAATACCATTGTTTCTATTCTGGGTTTTGTTTAAAATGTTTGATTTCTTTCATTCGAAGTTTAATCTTCAAAGCCTGTCGATTATTTCTTTCTTTTTTTCTTTTTTCTTTTAACTGTCATTGTTTTCCCATTGTGCTTTTCCTCCTAGATGTGCTTTTGTTTGTTCGTAATAGGCAAAATTTCTGGCTTTATTCTGGGTAAATATGTGAGCTTTATTTGGTTTAATTGTGATTGCGAAGCAAACTTTTTTCTATTATTCTTTACTTCATTATTAATTTTAATTTTTATTGGTGGAAATCTTATAAATGGGTTGCTTTTTTTCCCCGGTAAATCTCGTAAATGTTTGGGTTCTTACTGTGTGACCTTCACATGTTTGTATGCGTGAAAAGGTAAATATGATTTAGAATCTCCCATGGAGCAAATCGGTCCTAGTTCTTCTTCAATTCCATGTCTTTGGGATGTTAATTTAATGTAATTTGTTACTTTTATAAGTAAATCTAATTAGAATTATTCATGAAAGCAGAGAAAAGAGGAAACCGAGATCCTAAGCTTATTATTTAATGGATACTGGAGGGAATTCATTACCTTCGGGAGCTGATGGAGTGAAGAGGAAGGTGTCCTATTTCTATGACCCGGAGGTAGGTAATTACTATTACGGGCAAGGTCACCCTATGAAGCCTCACAGAATTCGAATGACTCATGCCCTTCTAGCACACTATGGGCTGCTTCAGCATATGCAAGTGCACAAGCCCTTCCCTGCCAGAGATAGGGATCTTTGCCGCTTCCATGCTGATGACTATGTGAACTTTCTCCGCAGCATAACCCCTGAAACGCAGCAAGATCAGCTCAGGCAGCTCAAGCGCTTTAATGTTGGTGAAGATTGTCCTGTCTTTGACGGCCTTTACTCCTTCTGTCAAACATATGCTGGTGGCTCTGTAGGCGGTGCTGTCAAATTAAATCATGGTCTTGACATTGCCATTAATTGGGCTGGTGGCCTGCATCATGCAAAGAAGTGTGAGGCTTCAGGGTTTTGCTATGTCAATGATATTGTCCTTGCAATATTGGAACTTCTTAAGCAGCATCAGGTATGTTTTGATACCTTAAATTTCTTATTAGCTTTCTATCCGGCTTTTCTCCTCATGCTGCAAGGGCAATATCTAATTATTTTCTACCCGTATCGATCTTATCCAGTCCAATATGATATGTGATATGGCTTGTTTGCAATTTGTCTTACAATATTGTATTGAATGCAAATTTGATGTGTCTTTGACAACTGACAACCAGTGAAGATGGTTGTTATTGTGGGCATGAAATAATAAACTGTTGTTATACTAGGCATGAAATGATAAAAATAAATGTTTATATTTTTGACCTGAATGACTGGTTTTATTTTTCAATTGATACATTTCCTGTGTAAAGATTTATGCTTTTTGCACTTTATGTAGTATAGTTTGTCATTAATAATGCTTTTCCTTTATCTTTGTTGCAGCGTGTTCTATACGTTGATATTGATATCCACCATGGAGATGGTGTGGAGGAGGCATTTTATACTACTGATAGGGTCATGACTGTTTCATTTCATAAATTTGGAGATTATTTTCCGGGTACAGGGGATATACGTGATATTGGATATGCAAAGGGGAAATACTATTCCCTCAATGTTCCTTTGGATGATGGGATCGATGATGAGAGTTACCATTACTTGTTTAAGCCAATTATTGGTAAAGTTATGGAAGTTTTTAAGCCTGGTGCAGTGGTCCTTCAGTGTGGTGCTGACTCCCTATCTGGAGATAGGTTGGGATGTTTCAATCTTTCAATCAAGGGCCATGCAGAGTGTGTTAAATTTATGAGATCATTCAATGTTCCATTGTTGCTACTAGGTGGTGGTGGTTATACCATTCGGAATGTTGCTCGCTGTTGGTGCTATGAGGTATCTGACCCATTATAGTTTCAATCGATTAATATATACTGATTGGTTTTAGTGATTGGCTTGACCATTATTATCTAATGTTAATATACAGTAAAGGTGACTTTCAGAAAAACCTTTTATCTCCCCCCCTCCAAATCCCCCTTTTCCCCCTTCCCTCTTTTCTCTTTTTCGTGTTGTTTAAGTTGGAAGATGTCAAATCATAGTGCCTAATTGTTTTCGTTCATCTTTAATCCCTATAAAAAGCTCTATAGTTCTTGGATTTGAAGATGATAGAGCAAGAGCTAGTAATTTCATTGGAAGATATAAGACTTTTGTGTTAAATTAATTCAATAATGTCAATCCTTTCTGCTTCTCAAGTCATTTACACACTTCAGAATAACTTTTAGCATTTGCTGCAACTAGATGCTCTTCTTTTCTTAATTCTTTTTTGGTAATGCCTCTGTGTTGTATATTTCATGACAACAAATTTAAGTTGCCCCCCCCCCCCCCTTACTTTGACCATTTTATAGTTGTGTTTATGAAACATGGAAGAACGTTGTAATTTTCTTGTGATGGACTACTTTGTTAATAACTATGTCAATTGAGCAGACAGGAGTTGCACTTGGAATGGAGGTTGATGACAAGATGCCTCACATGAGTATATGAATATTTTGGTCCAGATTATACTCTTCATGTTGCCCTAGTAACATGGAAAACAAGAACTCACGCCAGTTACTTGAAGACATACGTAATAAGCTACTTGAGACCTCTCAAAACTCAACATGCACCAAAGTGTCCAATTTCAAGAAGACCACCCTGACACTGAGCTTCCCTGAGGTGTGTGCTGCAGTTACTTTGTTTATTTGCTAAATTTATCCGAGCTTCCTTTTTGCAACTGGCATCTATCACTGGAAATTACCACATGTTCCACTCTCTTTTTTCAATCTTTTCCATAATTGAATGTGTTTTTTATGTGTCTATCATGTTTGGCATTGCATTTTACTGCTTAAAGCTTGCTTTTAAGGTTCTTTGATTGTTAAATAATAATCTAATAGGCAATTAAAATATATATTGATTTATGTTATCCATTTACATGAGAAGCTGTTTATGACTTTAGCCATTCACAGCTGCCTGCTTAAATAACTAAATTGTTTCATAAGATGGGTTATTTTGCTCATTTCTGATAAAACAATTAAAGAGAGGCAAGAAAAAACAACTATGTGCAATATTTCTTGTTGGCGCAGAAATTCTCTTTTTTGGCTGTTTATTCTATTGATAAATTTCCTACATTTTACTAGAAGTTACATATTAGCCTCATATCTACTTGCTCCTTATACTTGTTGCTTTTTGATTTATAATATTCAGGCTGATGAAGATCGGGATGATGGAGATGAGAGATGGGACCCAGATTCAGACATGGAGGTTGACGAGGAGCGGTATTTATCTTTCTTTTATTTTTTTTTAAAAAAAAACTTTATTGGTTTTATACCCCCAACTGTTTCTGATTGCATTCTATTTTCTTCTTTGCCATCCACTCATCACATTCATTCAGTAAGCTATCCCAAGCAGGGTAAAGAGAGAATCAGTTGAACCTGAGACAAAGATTTGGTATGCTTTATGCTATATAAGTCAGATTTTGTGATTGTGAGATTTAAGGCATTTATCTTGTGATTCTTTTTATTTAAAGTGTATTTTGATGGAAAATTTTCATTCTGGTTTATGTTCTCCCAGGAGGCCCAAAAAGGAACTGCTGAGCAAGCCAGAGGATTTGACACTGTGACGGATGAAACTGTAAGTACAAAGGTGAAGTTTTGAAACACCAGCACACTTGCACTTGTATTATATATAGAACACAACCACGTGCAAAAAATGATATCACAGCTCAGAAAAGTTGTGTTGATGCTGGTTCATGCAGGCTGTAGATGTCAGTCCGATGCCTATTGATGAACCTACTGTGAAAGTTGAGCAAGAAACATTAAACAAAGCATCGGATCAGATGTACCCAAAGCCCTAAGCAAAATCCTCCCAATTAGATTCTGGATGTATTTTCTGCGTCTGCAATTCGTCAGACATTATAGACTCCTATGTTTATCAATCAATCTAAATTTGTACAAGTAATGAAAACCTAATACTATGATTTTGCTTTATATCGTATCAAGAGTTTAAAGTTTTAATATGTCAAACTTCAAAGTTCGAACTTGAAGGTCAAAACAGTTTTAAGATTAGTAGCAGCACATAAATATAGGCAGTGGATTTTATTAGCATTCTTATTTATAGAACAATCGTAGTGAATTGATTCATTGTTGACAATTATGGGTGAGTGCTTCATCGTTTTCCTTGTTACCAATACATTGTTATCGTTTATATAGAATTTAAAATTCTTTCAAGTGATGGCATTGAGCATTTGTGGTATTGTACTGCTATATTATTTATACTATAATCTATACTATTATGCTATACAAGAATGCAAAACAAATTAAAACTTAAAAAATAGGTCCTAAGTAAATTTAAATCGGCATTCACTTATATGCTAAAGGAAATTAGTCTTCGATCTTTGTTCTAGGACAAGATTAGATCTTTTGTTTGTTCAACAACTGCAAACATGCACTCAAGACTTTTGTCTCAAAAAATTGAAAACTTTCGGATGCGAATAAACCTAATGCATATGACAGTATACCTTTCATATAAATATCATAGTTTTTAGCTTTTTGATGTGTTATCACATTAACAATATTCAAATATGTATACAAGATCAATATTTTTCTATTTGCTAAACAATATGAATATATATGGTTAAAAAATGTAGAAGCGAAATCAAGATTGAGAGATTATTCAATAAAGTCTAGTTTGACCATAGCAAGCTCCAATTTGCTTTATTATAGTTCAAGTCAAAACTAAGCTTGTTCTCTAATAAAACAAATACTACTAAATAAATTAAACATCTTATATAAACATGAGTTACATTACATGCCCAAATAAGAAAAAGGAATTAAGTTTGAATAAAAATTTTAGTTGAATAATTGGATACAAATTACAAGTTACAACTCCATCCATTTTTATTCTTAAAAAAAACTCCATATATTTTAAATTCTTTGCATTTGTTTTTGTATATGTAATTTTTTATGATATTTTTATGGTCTTGAATAATAATTTTATATCCAATCCAATTCCCTATAGTTAGTAGTTTGATTTGGGTTGAAATTGGATTTTATTACTCTCAAGCTGATACTACTATAAATATATATCCAATTTTCACGTCCTCCTTCACTTTCCAGTACTGTTTTTGTCACCTTTGTTAGATATTATAAGTTTCCTTACAAGTTAATTCTTATATCTCTATGGCTAGCTTTGTTTCCAATTCAACCATGAAGAAATCTCAGTCATTCAAGCTTTTGTTCCTTGTGTTTTTTCCTCG